GGGAACCCTGCAGCCCAATGGTATCAATGTGGACTTCACAAGCTTCAAAATCTCCCCTCCCCCAACCACATCCCAAAACCAGCCCAGCTTGAAGGGTCTAGGCCCGAAACGTCAGCTTTCCTGCTCCTCTGATGCTGCTTGGCCTGCTGTGTTCATCCAGCTCTACACATTGTTATCTCAGATTCTCCAGCATCTGCAGTTCCTACTACCTCACTTTCACACAGTACTACTCTAGGAACACCACAGCATTGGACTGGCTCCTCACAAATTCCACACCCTTAGTATTTTTATTTATTCACTGGATGAGGTTATCACTGGAAGATCAGCTTTAATTACCTTTGAGAAAATGATGGTAAGTGCAAGTACAACTGAATGACTTTGGCAAGGTATCACACAGGAAGCTGCTAAGTAAAATAACAACACATGGTGTTCGGGGCAAGTTACAGGCATGGATAGAGGATTGGCTGACTGGTAGAAGGCAGAAAGATGAGATGAAGGGTCTTTTTTAGGATGGCAGTGGATTCTGCGGGGGTCTGTGTTGGGACCACAACTATTCATGTTATACATTAACAATCTGGAAAAAGGAATGGAGGGCATTATTGTTAATTTTGCAGATGACACAAAGACAGGCCAAGGGACAGGTAGTGTTGAGGAAGTGGGGAGGCTGCAGAAGGACTTGGACATGCTAGCTGAGTGGGCAAAGAAGTGGCAGATGGAATACTCTGTGGCAAAGTATGAAGTCATACATTTTTTTGGAAGAAGAGGTTCAGACTATTTTGTAAATAGGGAAAGGCTTCAGAAATCTGAAGTGCAAGGGAGCTTGGGAATCCTGCTTGAGGATTCTCTTAAGGTTAACACGCAAGTTCATTTGGTGGTTAGGAAATCAAATGCAATGTTGGCATTCAAGAGGGCTAGAAAACAAGAGGAGGGATGTACTGCTGAAGCTGTATAAGGCTCTGGTCAGACCACATTTGGAATACTGTGAGCAGATTTGGGCCCCGTATCTAAGGAAAGCTGTGCTGGCATTGGTGGGGAGGTTTACAAGAATGATCATATGAGGAGCAGTTGAGGATTCTAGGTGTGTACTTGATGGAGTTTAGGAAGATATGGGAGGATCTGACTGAAACTTGCATAATACTGAGAGACCTGATAAAGTGGACGTGGAAAAGATGTTTCCACTAGTAGGACAGACTAGAACCCAACAGCACAGCCTCAGTGTGAAGAGGCGACTCTTTAGAACTGAGATGAGGAGGGATTTCTTCAGCCAGAGGGTAGTTAATCTGTGGAACTCATTACCACAAAAGACTGTACAGGCCAAGTCATTGAATGTATTTAAGACAGCAATAGATAGGTTCTTGATTGGTAAGGGGATCAAAGATTACGGGGAGAAGGTAGGAGAATGGGGTTGAGAAACTTATCAGCCGTGATGGAATGGTACAGCAAACTGGATGGGCGGAATGGCCTAATCTGCTCCCATATCTTATGGTTTTATGGACTAGAACTATGCTAGGGCCTTTTTAGAAGACAGTTTAGAGTGAAATCACATTACTATGGCTCCAGAGTCTGTCATATACCAGACCTTGTAATGACAGCAGATTTTCTTCTCCAAAGGGAATTAGTAAAACAGATGAATTTTTATGACAATCTGGTAGTTTCATGGTCACTATTACTAACACTCGCTTTCTAGTCTAGATCTTCTGAGTTCACAGAACAGAATTTCTCAGAGCCCTTTGATTATTATTCCAGGTCTCTACATTATCACAAACAGAAAGTACTAAAGAAACTCAGCAAATCTGGCAGCATCTGTGTAAAGGGAACAGTTCAAAGAACAGTCACATTGAACTTGAATTGTTAACATTCTTTCTATCTCTGCAGATGCTGCCAGACCTGCTGAGTTTCTCCAGCACTTACCATTTTTATTTCAGATCTCCAGCATCTGCAGTATTTTGCTTTTATTTTTACACAAGACTTGTTGTTAATAAGACTTAAAAACTCAAAATTTTGGAAGCTGTCAGCAAGTCAAATAACATCTACAAAGTGAAACAGAGTTAACATTTCAGGATGATGGCCTCTCAGAGACCAACTAACTTCAACAAACTATGGGTGGAACATGATAGCTGAGTGTTAGGCAGCTCAGAAAC